ACATAAGAGTTAATGAATACATAGATGAAACAAGGAAGGCAGAGCATTGATAACTGTGGCTGCAAGTGGTGGGTAACTGGGATTCACTATATAATTCTGTTACTGTGTACATATTTGAAATTTTCAAACAAATGGAAATGGGCTGCCCTGGTATGCTGTTGTTGGTCCAAGTTTCAAAGTGAGTAAGCATGCCAGAGCAATGTATGAAATAAGGTCATTCTAGCTCAAAACTATACTTATGAGAAGATCCTTGCATAAATCTTTTTGCATTAATGTCACCCTCAAATAATAGACTGTGCACCAGTGCCTACTTGCAGGGCTTCAATAGCTCTTAAGATCCAGTTTTGGGGAGCTTGTTCCTTTTATCTCAGATCTGGGTTGAAGCCCCTCAGTCTGCTGTGAAATGACCTGGAGAACTGCTCCTTCTTGCTCTCTCAGATGCTCCATCTTCTCTTTTCCACATGACTTCCCTAAGAAGCACCAGGTCAACCTACCAACTGCTGGGTTTTAGAAGTTGCCTGAGGAAGACCATCTGAGCTGTTATTTATAAAATTATTCAATAAAACCATGCTTGAAATTGCCCACTTCTTGCTCCTTTGTTGAGATAGAGGAGATTACAGAACACCACAGTGAAAGAACTGGGTAAACCAAGATGTTCAGCTAAAACCGTCACTCTAGCCATCACCCTGTTAACAAACCCAAACCTTCACAATCTAACTCCACAAATTCCAAAGCTATGTTCTAAGTTAGATTATCTCTAAGTCTCACATCTCCATCATGGAAGGACTCTTTTCTCTAAGATGCTATGCTGCTTTCTCTAAGTATTTAACAATTTGCTTTTTTCTTCAAATTTATCACACAGTTGTACAGCTTTTTTACCATCAAAGAGGAAGGCTTGCCTGGGAGCCCATGAAACACATTACCACCCTTGTGGTTACCAAGTCAAGAGAGGAGACATTCAAGAGGAGAAGAGCTTCTAAACTGTTTATCCCAGACTCTAATTTCATCCAGCTATAGAAGAAGAAAAATCACAGACATCAAGGTCAAACCACAGATGACGTGAACACCAAGATTTGAATGGATTCCAAGAACTTTGAACCAAATTATTTCTTCCAAGGTCATTTTAAACTCTAAAGTTCTACCATTTATAAAGAAACAGTGAAACCTAGGAGAACTGAGGGGTTGATTGAGAACAGGAAGTTGAAATGGAAACTCCACAGGATTCTGAAATAAATCATTCCTCTGTCATTCCCCTCACGCAAATCACTTCACTTTATCAATTTGTTCCCAACATTCCTTTAAACCTTGGCCCTGATGTCACACTGTGATAGAAAGGAAATCAAGGTGAGAGGATGGGAAATTGGTAAGAATTGAAAACAACCGTTGAAGTAGCCAACCACCGAACCAAGGAAGCAAACCCCTTAGGAGTCTCAGCTATGGAGGGAAATTGTATTGATTTCAGAGAATCATCTCCTTGAGAACATTTGTCTCAGAAAGCACCAGTGACCAAGCATCACAAAACAGCAAACCCCAAGGCTCTTTACAATCACTTAAAGGCACTGTTTAAAAATAAGAACACCTCACTCTGGCATTTTTAATAAGCTCTCAGGGAGTGCTATGACTTGGAGAGCAGTGTATTCTAATAGTCACTACTGCTTAGTCTTTCTCAATTTTCATCTTGTATGCCTCCAGCAGTGTTAACAAATAAAATACAAGACATCCAGTTAAATCTGAATGTCCAATAAATAAAGTCATTTTTTAGCATAAGCATGTCTCAAAATTTTTATTTAATACTAAACATTGATATTAAAAATGTTGTTGAAGTCTGAAAGAGTGGCTCAAGTGGTACAACACCTGCCAAGCAAGCTTGAGGCCCTGAGTTCAAACCCTAGTACCGCCAATAAAAATAAAAATAAAAATGTTGTTGTATATCTGAAATTCAAATTTAATTTGATGCCTTATATTTTTATTTTCTAAATATGAAAACTTGATGCCCCACCCCCACTACGCCTACAATGATGGATAAAATCAATGGGCACATAAAGAACATACTATATCTACTTGTGACTTGTTGGCCCTGAATTTATCACTTCAGAATATATAGCATGTGGATAATATGCAAACTATATGAATGAGTATGATGATATTATGGGAATAGCCTCCATTTTCCCAACTGTAAGATGGAAATACCTGGACCAGATCTAAAATGTTGTTAAACCACTGAAATAATTTACCTACATCAAATTTAGTCATTCAATCTGAAATGGCATATCTCCTAAAAGAAGCTTCCTCACAAAAGAAAATGACCACCAACACATTCATTTCTCCTTATGCCTCAAAAGCAATTCCTGAAAACTGTCTTCTCACAATTCATTAATAATGATAACCTCTAGTCTCATATGGCTTGAATATCTGCCATCTTCTATAGATCCTGTCTAGTCCAATCTGTCAAAAATGTTCAGGAGCTGTGGAGAATTCATTGTCCCTAGCCTGGTCACACCAGGGTCAGGACTACATGTAGTGATCCCTGGCATGTCACTTGCCAAAAGGTTGTGTTATTTGAGCAGAAGATCCAAAATAATTCTAAGATGAGGTTGTGCCATGAGTGCTTAGCTCATCAAGCCAAGAAGAAAGGAAGAGCAGACATCTAATTCAAGCTGACCAAAGACAGCTGAGAAGCATTAGCACTGATTATTAAGAGTAGGTAGGATTTACGTCTCTATGCCTCTTTGATTCTATTCAAGTTGCCTCAATAGCCCCATCTTGTTATCTTTGATATAGATGCCATCTAAAGTAACTGTATTTGTTTAACAAAGACTACTGAAATCCTCTCTAAAATCTGACTTTAGGCTCAACCACAGGAGAAGAAAAGTCTCCTACATTTTTTGGTTTTACCCAAAATCATCATCTCTGCTTTCAATGTTTTGGTTGGGGCAATTATGACAATTATGTTAGCAAACTAGGGCCCTTAGGCCAAATCTAACCCTCTTTTTATTCATAATAAAATTTTACAGGAATATAGTGGACACATTTATTTATGTGTTCTCTAAGGCTGCTTTTGCACCATAATGGCAGAGTTGAGTACATGGCAAGAAAAACTGTGGTCAATGAATCCCCAAATATTTACAGTCTGGTCCTTTAAAGAGAAAGTGTGTGAACCTGCTCCAAAGTACTAATAATAACCCTATTTTAAAGAGGTGAAATGCAGGAGAAATGAATTCAAGGCTTTTGGTAAGAATTTAAAAAATGGATGATGACTACCAATCCAAGAATTAGCAGCCTACTACCAGCCCATGCAATCTCTAAGTGACCAGAGAGCATTTTCAGTGTGATGACTCATATATCCAAGTGTTGTTTGAAAAGGACACTGCTCCTTACTCTCAGATACTAAGAATCCAAATAATAAATACACATGCATGGAAATAAGATAAATGACATTTCTGCCTAGAAGCCCAGGTTTTCAAAAGGCAAAATTACACAATGACAAGCACACACATAGGATGGCTGCTGCCACTATTATTTGTAGTCTGACAAAGGAAATGCAGAAGAGTAGCAATAAAGAAATTGTCTCCATTTGGTGCCAGTGCCTACGAGGAACTGTCACTGTTGCAGGGACTGAGAATTTAAATCAACATTAGCTCTTATGTGGTTTCCTTGCTTTAGGCAGGAAGAGTGTGTGATCAGAAAGAACAGCTGCCCTCAAAACTGAAACTACGAGTGGGTCAGAAAATATTCCCAGCGCCGGTGCCTTACAGAAGAGATTAGAAGGTCAGAATCACAGATTCTAGTTTTGCAGAGGCTCTTAGTCAGTCTGCTTCCTCTACAGCAATCAAACATGAAGGGCCCCCTCCCCACCAGAAGTTCCTTTCTTTTCCTATGGAAAGTCCTTGCAAACAGAAATGGCACACTCACACTTAATGACATTCATGCCACAGACTATTAAACACAGATATTCCTCCTGTTGAAAGGAGCAAGAAGAAAAAAAATGCCATAGTAACTGTTGCTAAGTTTAACTTTACAATATTGACAGAGTAGAGATGGTTTACCAAATAAAAACTTTAGGGTCTAATTCAATCCTTCAACCCTATTAGGGATCACAATAGTTCTCCTACAGAGAAAGAGCAGAGATCTGGCTCTTTCTACCCTCCTTTGATTCTTACTCCTCCAGTCTGCATTACCTTCCACTCCCTAATCCCACCCTTATCTTGTTGGGCTAAAGGTGGGTTGCATACCTGAATGCCTTAGGCTGCTGCTAGACAAGCACACAGAATCAAATATACATCCACTCTCCTGAAATGGGGAAGGTGCAACCAGACCTCAATGTTTATACTTTTTTTTAAATTCAAATATTTGATAAATGTCTATAATGTACTTGGAGTTAAGGTTCAAGGGTGAATACAGTAGGCGTGACCCTAGCCTTCTGAGGTCAATGACAGGGTAGGGAGAGGCAGACATCAATTTTTCTTAAATCCCACCAATGAGTCTAAGATTATAAAATGTGTTCAGTGCTATGAAGGCGAAGAGCAGGAGTTTGTGAGAATATAAAGCGTCCTAATTTATATCACAGGATCTGAGAAAGCTTCTCTGCCATGGAAATGACATTTAAAATGTAACCAGAAGGAGGAGGAGTTACTCAGGTGAAGATGAGAGCTGAGAAGTATTTCAGGCAAAGGAACAGGTGGTAGAGAAGCCCTAAGGGAAAGTATGACCTCGTCAATCCAGGAAGGCAAGAGTCAGGATAGGAAGAAAAACAGCAGCCTTCCCAGGGAGAGTAGAGATTTTTATTTCATTCTAAGCACAATGGGAAGTCGCTGGGAGTCTTTGAACAGAGGAGTGAAAAATGAGATCTACATTTTTAATAGACGACTTATGTGAGGGCAGACCTGAAGGGCAGAAGCAGAAACATGAAGCAGGAATTGCTGAGGCAGGAGATGATGGTGATCAGGTTTGAGATGGTTGTAATCAGCATGGAGAACTGTGGCATTATCCAAAATGCTTACATGAGATGTGGAAACATGAGGAAGGAGGAGATTCCAAGGTGTCTCCCAATTTTCTATAGCTGCTAGGTAGACAGGATACCATTTACCAAGGAAACACTTAGAGTGAAAGTTCATGAATATCCTCACATGAGTATCTGAAGAACCAAAAAAAAAAAAAACAAAACTTAGAATCAAAAATGTAAAAAATAATGACAGAAGTGAATAACAAAAAGTTAGAGCTGCAATGAATTGGTTGAGTACAACAAAAAAAGAAAAAAGGCCATTTCTTCTTCAGTGTAAGCTGCCCAAGAGAAAACAGACTTGAATTATCACTTACAAAAATATAGAAGAAAGAAGGAAAACAACAAAAACAGGAGCCAGTAAAGAGCTTGAGGTATCTGGGAATGGTGAGACCTACACACTTGGGAGATACAATTAACAAGTGACACTGGAACAAAATTCAGTCATTTGACAAATATTTTTGAGCATCAACTCTCTACAGGGTACAGTTGCCAGTGATTGTAAAGTGAACTAGCTCTCTCCTGATAAGGAAGACAAGGCAGGGAACCAGGGACCTTTGATCAGTGATAGAATCAAACTAAATTAAAAAGAAGGTAACCATAGATGTGGAATGGAGACTATTTCAAGAATGGGACATGACTGAAAGGGAAGATAGTTAGAAGGCCACAATAAATAATTCTAAGATAAAAGCATCAAGATTTCCTGATGACCCCAAATAAAGAAGACACCAAGGCTTTACTGTGGAAAAACTGGAGAATGACTTTGTCAATAGATGGGAGAGAATTTCAGCTTCATTTTGGGGATAGTGCAATATACTATATAGTTCTCTCTCAGGAGAGAGTACAAAAGGGAGACCTTGAGAGTGGTCACCTTTTTGATTGTAGAGGAAACTATCAGACATAAAGAGATGGCCTGTGAATATGCAGTTCTCCTGCCAGGTCATGGAACAACTCTGGGAGCATCAATATTTAAGGGGTAGGAATGAAGAAAAAGCACTTCCAGGCAAAAGAGAAGGTGCCCAGAAGCCATGAAATAAGACACTCTCGAAATGGCGGCTGAGACACTGCACAGAATAGAAGGGCTGAGAAATGGGAACTCAGATGCCACTGGTCATCTGGCTAATAAGCAGTTTCCAGTTGAGAAGTGAGTGGCATCCACAGAGGAGAAACAGTGAATGCTCTCACAGTGGAGGAAAGAAAGGACTTAGTTCTTTAAAATGGTGACATGAAAGGGAAGTGGGAGTGGAGGGACAGGAGAGAGCCAATGGTAAGGTCAGGACTGAAGAAAAGGTAAAAGAGAATGTAGTGATAGGCCAGGGTCTGGAGGAATAAAGGTGATATCCTATTAGAAAAATAACTAAAGCAAAAAGGCCTGGGGGCAGCTCAAGTGGTAGAGCATCTACCTAGCAAGAACATTCAAACCCTGGTATTGAAAAAACAAAACAAAACAAACCAACAAAAACTATGTTCCAAGAACAGTCAGACACTGCGTCTAAAGAAAGCATCTAAAGAAAATTGACTACTGCCTCTCAGCTGATTGGGGAGACCAGCACTCCCCAAACTGTGTTCAGGTAGTTGAAACCCACTAACAATGGAAGACACATGAGTTCTGTTGAATCATCACGTAAGAGGTCACTGCAGTCAACGCATTGCATCCTCTCACATTTGCATCACTGTCACCCCTGAAACAGAGCCAACTCTGCAAAAGCACATCTTAAAATGGCTGCCTCAGCCTCTCCCACCATTCAGTCAAAATCGTTTCACTGTAGTGATAATCTGTAACTTAGCACATTATTGGGGGGAAATAATGCATGTGGAGAAAATATTTTTTCACTCTCAAAGCAGCAAATTATTTTTGCTATTCTACACAGTACAGTGAGGCTCACACATTTTAGGCAACCTAGATAAATTTTTTTCCATTTGAGGCAAGTCTCAGTAGTGATTTAAAATTAAATTGTTAACCAAGTGTCAGGAACCATGAAATAAGCATAAGTGGTAGTCCCACTCTGACTAGCAAATACCAGGGTGCTTGAAATCATATGAAACTGTAAAAGCACATGGTAGTAACACTATCTATTCAAGCCTTCTCATCAAGAAAGCCACCTACCACCTTTAACAACCACAAGCAAGGGAAAAACATTAGGAATGCAATGTTTTCATTCTCTTTTTATAAAAGACATTCATTTACTCATTCATACAAACACATATTAAGCAGTGCTAGGAACTGAGGATATGGGATAAACCAAACAGACTTGTCCTTGACCTCATGGACTTATGGTCTAATGAGAAAAACAAGCTATGCAGATGATCACAAGTATTAAATGCCAGAAGCAAAAAAAACAGGGTACTCTGAGTGGGAAGTGCTTCTCAAAGGAAGCAGCGTTTTTAAGCTAAGACTGAAGGGCAAGGGACAGTGGAGTTTGTGAGGAGTGTATGTGAGGGAGGAGGGCTGGAATGAGGTGGTAGTCATAAACATGAGACAAGTAATTTGGAGGATTTGGGTTACATTTTTTTTTTTTAAAGTGCAGTAGGGAGCAGTGCAAGACTAAACAGGGCAGAGACAGGATCAGATTTGTGTTCCAAAAAGCATGAATGGAGAACAAAAAAGAAGGAAGTATGGCAATGGAGATGGGGGGAGAAGATGGTATATATTTTGGAAATGAATGGACAAGACTGTTTCCCATGAGGAGTGTGTGAAAGAGTGTGCACCAAAGATGACCCTGGGTTCCAGTTGGAGCAACTGACTGAATGGAGGTGCTGCATACAAAGACAGGAGCAGCAGGAGGCACAGATTTAGTTGGCAAGTAGAGGATCAAAAGATTGGTTTTGTAGAAAAAGTTAAAAAGCCTTTGAGACCTTTTGAGGTACAAGTGGTGGGATTAAGTGTAAAAGAAATGTGATATGTACCATTTTGCTCTTAGAACCTGTAGTAGTTTAAGGCTGTCTTGCCACCTTGGGAGGAGTTACCCAACAGTGTCACTCGCTTCTGGACACAGTCTACTCCCGTGTCAACGAGCCAGACAACAGGATGGGAATACAGGTCCTCCCTAGGAACGCTGAGCAGCGCTTGTTCTCAATGACAGCAAATTACATTCTGAGAAAGTAGAGGCGTCTGCTAGAAGCCAACCATACAGGGTTACAGCTTTTATAAACTTTATAATACATTATAAATTATATAATGTAATTATGTAAAAGATTTCATGTATCTTACAAATGCTATAATTATACAAATGTTATCAAAAATTATATTATGAATAGAATTTTAATGTATGTTGTAAAAACACATTTTATATAAAAAATGCAAGTACATTTTGTAAAGGCTTCCCTCACTTCGGTGACAGGGCTAGGACCCAGCACCTTGTGCATGCTAAGCTGCGTTCTAACACTGAGTTATTCTCCATGCCCCATTTTCTAAGGTATTTTGTGTATTGTTTCAAAGTTGTCTTGTAAAAATCTGTCCTGTACAGATTTTTCAAGATAGGCCCTAGATGATTAAGTGAGTTCATCTACCATTTCTTTGATAAAAACTTAGAACATACGACCAGCTAGTAGCATTTTGGAAATTACCAGTACAGGGTACAAAATCACTGCATCAACCATTGATTTGTCTGCAGGTCATAAAGGACTCCAAATCTGATACCTGGGTTGATTTTGTTTTGTTTTTAAATCAAATTGCCACAATTCTTTGCTAATTGGAAAATTCCACCAATTTAAATGAGAACAAGCCCTGCAGAAGCAGACCCACCACGCTTGACTTACTTAACACCAGCATGACTGCCAAATAAAAAGATGGCGTCATCCATATCTGCTGACTCATGGAGAAAAGGAGGAAATAAAAGGAGGAGAGAGAGAAGCCAAGAGAGATGTGGGAACTGTGACTACGTTTTGCTGGAAAGTAGGCTGCTGAGCTAGGCAACTGCATAAAAATGTTACTGGTAGCCCGTGAAGAAAGAAAAAGATGTACTTTGTGAGCCTAAATCAGAGGAGACAAATATTTATTAGGTGAGCAAAGGCAGAGTGTTAGCTGGGAGAGCCTGAGAACAAATGTTCATTTTTCCGAGTATATATACTTGAAAACATAATTTCTCAATCATACTCTCTCAGATTATATTTTTAAATAATCTTTAGAGCCACTTTGTCCAAGGCAATTACTTAAACTTGTTACAACTTAAAACATTTGTTTAAAGTCTAAAAATAAAACTTTTTAAGTGGTCAAGACAAGTATATGGGAGCATAATTACTAGAGTAAAAAAGTATTTCTTTGTTATTTGTACTTAATTGTCTTACCTATAAATGTCTACCATCAACATGAATATGTGAAGAGTATCAATAGTATATCTAATATATTAAATTTAAAAAATAAATAATAAATGCACAAAATTAAAATGAATTAAGTATTTAATTATAAGCTATGCCCATTTTCATAGGACTAATTCCCTAAAAAAGGTAACAACAAAGAATGTTTGCAGTTCATTGTCATAAAAACATTTATCTAATAATTATCTTCTGAGTACTATCATGCACAAGAAAATGTGAAACACAATGGGAAAGGCAATCAGCTACTGGGCCAAAATTACGACAGTCTGAGCAGGAACAGGCCACACCAAGGGGAGGTCACTAATGGGAGAGGGAGGGTAAAAGAAGGAAGCAAAGAAGGTGAATATGGCTGGTGTACTTTCTATACAAGAATACAGAATTTTTAAACCTGTTGAAATCACCATAAGAAGGGGACTTAAGGTAGAGAGGAGAAAAATAGGGGGATGAACTAATTCAGGATATAAAACATATATACATGGAAATGTCATAATGAAACTCTCTGTATAGCTATCATAAACAAACAAAATGTCTTTTTTCAAAAACAGAGGATGGGAAGGTAAAATAGGTCTTGTCTGGGGGCTGCTGCCGATGGAAGTGGGGAGGGTATAAGGAAAGGGTGTAGGGCAAATATGGTAGAAGTATCATGTACTCAAGTACGAAAATGGAAAAATGAGACCTGTTGAAACTATTCCAAGAATGGGGCTGGGGAGAAGGAGAATGATGAAGGGGGTGAATTTAACTAAGATATATTGTAAGCACTTTTGTAAATATCACAATGTACCCCCAGTACAACAATAATATGACAATAACTGGCTTTA